GTAAGTAGAAAGCTTTTGACAAGTATCTCATAATGTCATATTGCGGGCACTGCGAAGCACATACTCCAGAAATATACATCGATGAAATTGATCCATCACGGAGCCACGCACCATGTATAAAGTGCGGCAAGGATAAGCCATTCCTCATAAGGACCGGCATACATCAGGGATCCCTCTTTACATTACTCTTCATCACAGTCATGGATGCAGTGACAGGAGGTCTTAAGCAACAGCCTCCACTGGCTTTCCTATACGGAGGTGAGGCGGAGTTGATGTTAGAAAACAGTAAAGAATTTGAAGAAGAAGTACAGAGATAGAAGGACCAAGCAGATTTGTACGGCTTAGGGCTTAACGCAAAGAAGACAGAGTTATGGAAGTGATAGACTTTAGATACCACATGATGAGCAAATCGAGAAGACAGTTACTTACATTTTAGAAAGTCGCATCTCTGGCGAAGGGGACTTAAAGATGACCTACCGGGACAAACGCAGCCTGGATGAATGGAGAAACTTCACAGACGTGCTATGTGATGAACGATTGCTAGTACAACTTAAATCCTCATTGCAAACTATTGTAATCCGTCCTACAACGCTTGGTGAATGTTGGCCAAATACACGAAATAAAGAACACAAGAGTGTCATGATGAGAAGAATGCTACGGTGTACATTGGGTATCACCTTGTTAGATCATGTTTGTAATTACACAGTTCGGGCTCAGCGAGAAGAAGCAGGAAAAACGATTGCGAATACGAACATGTGAGTAGAAGAGATGAGACCCAAATCACAATAGTGGCAATGTCTCTGGAGTTTGCTGGGAAATGATCGCGAGGAAGGCCAAAGCTGAAGTCGTAGGACAGAATCAGAGCCGACTTTAGAGGACTTAGGATGGACGATATGCCTTTGAAACAGTTGACTCATGCCAGACCTTGCGTAAGCGCAAAATGCGAAGGGAAAAAATGTGTTGTAATCACGTGCCGGATTGGAGAAACTTTAAAAAATGTCAACTTTGTCAAGAGTTCTACAAATTGGTAGCCTCCAGGAGCGGCAAGCAAAATAATTTTCATTCAGATAATGTTCGGGTCACCAATACTTCTGTGGCTAAAACAGCGCTTGCGAAGTATGATTGACTTGAATTTTGATATAACGTGCTCAGCCATGTTTTTGGATATCATTTGAATGAAGGGCAGGCTTAATAAAGCAGGCTATACCGGTCAATATCATTATATGAACATCAGGATAACCATAGATTTATGCGTAGGCTACGGTAATAAATCAGTTAGAGAAATAGGTTTTCCACGATCTCCTATCTAGGCGCATTCAAATCTAGTTCTCATTCACTGGAAGACGTATTGTCTCCTCTACATTGCACCAAAGGCGATTATGATTAGGGTGCGATCTTCTGTAAATAATAAAACTTCTGTTACGCCCAATCAAAGTTTGCTGGCAAAATCTTATTTCTGTAGCTAGTTTGGATACTTAAACTCTTACGTCGGTAAAGACATCCGCAATTTTGTCTGCTTGACCGAACTGCGAGCCATGTACTTCAAGCTGCTTAGTTCCAACTTCTCCAAATCGAACTGTGTCGTTTCCATAAAAGCCTTCTGCGCTACCTTCTCCATACTGAATAAAGCATAAACCTAGCTATAATGTCGTTTAGCACGGCCAAGTAATGACAGAGCGTTCTTACAGAGATTCTCCACGTTCCGTTCATCGGAATGTAGGTAGACGATTCAGTTGAAGCGAAAAAGTTCTTTCCTCTACATGGATTTGTTTTGCAACAAACCTTCTCAGGACAAAACACTTGACAGGCTACTGCAAACTTTCAATTGCTATATCGCGCATTAGCGTCTGGCTCTAAGCATCTCAGAAATTATCCTATTTTTTGGATATATCTTCCACACGGAGAGAAGTTTCCACTGAGACTCACGTCGTACAAGACATGTTATATATTGTATCTTGAATCGTAGCTCACCTCCAGGATCGCATATGGACTCATCGCATACCTCTGGCGTGTTTGCTGCGCATGTGTAATCTGGGATCCAAAGTTGAGTTGAGCCAGTGTCCAGAACAACCTAAATCAGACAAGCCTTGACTTGTCATAGATGACCAAAATTTAGTTCTTTGTTCACCTTGAAAGTTTGATCTGGAGATCCGATCGTAATGGTACCAACATATGCCGTGTCATCGTAGTTGTACAACTTAAGCATACCGCTGTTCAGTGGAACTTTTGTGTAAATAGTTAAAAATTGGCTTTTTTCGCTTCAATATGAGAAAATTTAGTCGGCATCCTTATGGGAAAACCATCTTAAGTCA